TATATATATATATATATATATATATATATATATATATATATATATATGTCATTTTGTAACAACCCAAGCAGAATGTTTATGGGGCCAGAAAGGGTAATGGAGAATGGGAGAAAACAACAGTAACCAATCCAGCAACCCGTTCATATGCTTGTTTCAACATGAAGATTCTCTAGAACTTTCTAATGTTCTGATTCGATTGAGAATCTGTTGGAATGCAACAGAGGAGAAGCCTCTCAGAAGAAACTGTTTCTCAGCAGTGTGTAGTCTGTCAGCCAAATATTGGCAGTTTCCTAGCTTCTCATACTCCACACCTTGAAACTCTGTGTCTTTGAGTGGACAATCGAAGGTAGATACCCACCTGATCTGGATGAAGATAACTTCCTTCGACCCCTCATTGGCCATATTATACTATAATGTCTTCAAGGGAAAGATTTGGACGGGCCATTGATTGTTAATCACAGCTCTGGACATTATGAATATCTATGAGATTTTTGCAAAATATGAGCAACACGGCATGGACTTCCTTAGCCCAGAATATCCTGCATAAAATGCCCCCTTTTCCACATCAACTACATTTCACTAGAGACTTGAAACCTTGGTTAGGACCCAGCGTCCCTTAGCCCTTTCATTCCCATCTCTCCAGGTAATTCTTTGTATTACTGTACCCTACTTTCAGAATTCTCTCCTGCCACCACACCTGCAACTCCCTATGTGCCCCACTTCTAGGTATAGGCAGGATCCCCTCAGTTCCTTCCTGCTCTCAATTTTTTTTCTTGTAGCCCACATCTTATTCCTTTCTGCCACCAACTGACCTACACAAATAGCCACTACCAGGAAACCTACAGCCACCACACTTCCCTAAGATCAAAAGAGGTCAATATAAATTAAAGTAACACCTACTCAAAGGCAAAAACAGATATTAACACCTAGAATAACATTTATCGCAACTCCAGATGACTGAACATGAGCACAAAATCATAATCGTTGACATCCAGGATAGTGTACCTCTACCAGAACACAGTAATTCAAGATGGATGTAATATACTGGAAGCATAAGACAAGGACATCAAAATAGGTATTACAAATAAGCTATATGTTCAAGGACCTTAAAGAGGAAAAAAATAAATCTCTTAGTGTAATCTATAAAAACACAATCAGACAATGGAATGAAATAAAAAAAACAGTTCAAGATGTGAAAATATAAATAGACTCACTAAAGAAAAACTATACTTGGAAAAACTGGAAATGAAAGAGTTTAAAAGTCAAACAAAAACCAGAGGTAAGACTCACCAAAAGAGTACAAGGTAAGGAGGAGAGAACCTCAGGCACTGTAGACAAGGCAGAGAAGATGAATACCCCAATCAAAGAAAATGTTAAAAGTAAAAACAAGCAAACAGATTCAAAACATTCAGGACATCTGGGACACTATGAAAAGACCAAATCTCAATATAACACAAATAGAGGAAGGGAAAAAACCAAGTTGAAGGCACAGAAAATATTTTCAACGATGTAGGGCTGAGAGCAGAGCATGGAAGAAACAAATGAATTTGAGATTCAGAGGAAAAGGATGGATGTCATAACAGTTATGTCCCCTTGGCCTGATGTCTTCTTACCAACGATCCCCTTCGCCATATTTATGTTTCTGCTTCAGAACACTAGGAGGTGGAGCAGGAAGATTCTGACATCTTGAGTTGGGACTTAAATACCAAGCAAGGGTATTCAGAACAAAATTGGCAGCCTATTTCTAGAAGGGGTGGGGAGACAAAGAGTAATGTGAGTAGGTGGGAACCATAGTAAAAACCTGATCTGCCTACTCTTATTTCTGTTTCAACATGCAATTCTATAGAATTTCCTAATGTTCTGACTCACATAAGCGTCATTGTATTGCAACAGAGGAAAATCTTATAGGAAGAGACCATCCCATACCTGTGCACAGTCTGCCAGTCAAATTCTTGAAGTTTCCATTCTTTTTATATGCCATACCTTGTAAGTTGTAATGGCTCGCCCAGCCCTCCTGTCAATCTTGCATTCAGCAGTTTAACATTCTTCAGTTATTTAGTGGTGATGATGAAGTTGGAGTATTATCTAGAAGAATGTCTTTGGAATCCATGACATTAAGAATGAAAAAGGAGGATAGGCTTTTATGATCAACTCCTGGGAAAAGAAAAGATGGAACGATTGCTTTTTGTTGGCTTGCTTGTTTTACAGGATCCCCTTTACAAAAAAAAATGTGATCGTATGCAATGCACTCTTATTTTGTCATCTCCTTCATGATTAAGTGTGAAGAAAATTTAGTTTGCGACATTAACAGTGGATTTCTCATTTCTCTTCATCTCCTCATGAGTTACAGTAAATAAATAAATGGAATTAACAATCAAAAGGACCTACGTGGGCACCTGCACTTATGTACACCAAGTCTTGCTCCACATACCCAACATTTTAATAATAAAGTAGCCAAGAGGATCAGTTTGCCCAGGAATATAAGGAAAATTTTTCAGGAATAGAAATGGAATTGTTTCATTTTGACTATCTCTTGTCAAACTTATACTAACAATTAGATTTGATGATCACCTAAAGTGCAGGTAAATGCCACTTCATATTTTCCCATGAGATGTGCAAACAATTTTTTAACAAAAGATTGACATTTGCAGTCTCAGGGGTTGTGAATTTGGAAACGAAAAATCAGCCTGCCTCCCTCTTAAGCTTGAAAGCCATCTTATAGTAAAGACAGACTAGATTCTTTCCTTTTTATGATAAAATATTTTTCTCAGTGATTGGATTATAAATCACTTGTAACCCTAACTACACATGATTCTATACTGCCTTTTTCAAGAAATAGCAACCATTCCTTTGTTTCAAAAGATTATTGCGAACACCTTGTCACAACTACAATTATGCTTAAATCTTGTTTCTGTAACAGTGACTTTTTGCCTGCCAGATCCCCAATTCAAAAACCTCTTATTACTGAGCTATAAAAACTCCTTGCTTACCTATGTCTAATGCTGCTCTATTGAACGTGGCCACCAGGAAGACACCTTATGTACACAATTTTTTAAAAGTTAGTTTTAATTCATTTGTCCATGATGCTTGATAGTCTTTCTCCTTAAAGCTGTGAGATTAACAGAAAACAAGCCTTAAGGTTGAGAAACTGGAGCATTGTACCATACACTCTGGCAAATGAGCCCACATCTGTGGAAGGACGCTTGTTATTAGTCTGCTCAGTAAACAGGCATTGGGAAATAATTTCACATACCACGCACATAAGTGAGTAGTTGGTGGTATGTCTCCCCTATCACTAACTTGAACGTATTTATTTATTATTTGAGTTTTAGGTTATTTACAATGAAAATACAATTTGAGAACTCTTGAAAGTTGCATTTGTTCCCATCAGTTTCCTGTGTATGTTTTGTCTACTCTTTCTTTTTAAAACTTCAACTATAAATATATATATATCCGAATTACTGAATTCATCCAAGTGTGCCTGAAGCATTCTGTTGTGAATAAATATATACATAAGCTATGTAGATTAAACTTTGTGGCTTAAAATGTTTTCAGGGAGAAACTATTTCCATAATAAACAAAGAAAAGATTCTACTTTGTGTTATATTCTGTTCTTATCTTGTCTCAAATATAGATTTGTTTGCCATGGTTTGTGTTGAACCTATCACCTTTTATAATTTCTTCTGTTTTGGGAACTCTCTGGGAGAAGATCACTCAGGCTTATTTTTAACCAATTGAAATTCCTTATCCTGTCTAGGTTGGAGTACATTCAGGTATTCAGAACTCAAATGCAATGGTCACCTTTTAGGGCAAAGGGTTTTTACAAGAAAAAAGAACACATCCTGGTATCTAACTTTATAGCTAGAAGGGGAGGTTTTCACACGCATACTGTTTAACAGAAGGCAAGATAAGTTATATGGGCCATTTTAACCTTGGATTCTAAGAATAAAGTTATATAATTTTCCGTAGGCCTTTCCATCAATGAGATCAAATTCCAGTTAAACTAAAATGACATTAGTGAGAACAAAGATGTAGGAACCTCTGCCCTGCCTTGTCCTGTCACACTTTGATAGTTTTCTCCTTACTATGACTTTCTTGGACCAAATTTCTGCATCTGTATTTCTACCTTTTACCCCCTCTCATTTTAAATTCTGAGAGAGGGGGTGTGTCCCCTCAATCACAAAGCTGATCACTTGATTCCTGGGCAGAATTTGGGTGTAAAAACAAAGTGCAATAGTGTAATGATTATTACTTGCTCTTAATGGATCTCTGTACTGTTAGCTTTTTTGGCACCAAGATATGACTTAGGAAATACTGGGACTACTGAGCAGCAGTTCTCGTAAAAGATGACATTTTTGTGTCACTTAGGTTTTTAAGTTGTGTATTGACTTTTTGTCCTACTGTCCCTTCTGACTATTTTGCTTCTTGTTATGTTCTTGTGACACTGCAGAACACACCAGTTTTTCCTAAGGAGCTGCTTTCTGGAATGTGAAGCCCTGATCCACTTTGTGGTCCACATGTCCTGTGTATTATGTAAAGCTCTTTGTGATCAAAATCAGCTTACCTTTTCATACTAGGCTATTGCATTTAACTGCTGCAGTCAAATCTATCACATTTTTGTACAGTAGAATCACTTAAATTTCACATTTCTAGTATGAGTATAAATGTTTATCAACAAAGAATTACTTTAAATAAGAACAATACACAAATCTCAATCATTTCATTGCATAAAAGCTAGATACTGAAATTTCAAAAAGATAGCACCATGTCAACCCTTCTATGAAATATTTACACATGAGTATAATCAATCAAGGAAAAATTGTGTATGCAGCAGACTCCTCCTGTCAGGAGAACTCTGTGATGTAATAAATAAGTAGTTGTTAAATATTGTATTATGACTTGAGTGACTTCTGGTCATAAGACTGGTCTAAAACTTCCCCAGAGGCCTTGATGAAAGAACAATGGGAACTTTAGTTCTGTGTCCTTGTTCAGAAGTGGACTTGGCAAGGTTGGTCTGATGTTAGATGTAGTACCTTGGAGTGAAGCTGCAATTTCTTGGAACCAGACTCTCCCTGCTGGGTGTGGCTGTAATCCTCAGGATTCTGTCTGAGGTGTCCTGTGTTCTCTTTGACAACTTGCTTGACTTATCTCTCTGCTGAAATTGCCTGTTTTCCTCCTTGCAAATAGTGTATGAGATGTTGTATTTCTTTATAAACTTGCATAAGTCATCAGATTACCTCCTTGTCTCAGATATTGCTTATGTCTTCTTTGTTTCTCATCTCTGGTTCTAACACTCATACCTTGCAATTTAGGTCCATTGTTCATCTGGGTTCAGATCAAGTCACACCCAGACTCGGAGCTTGAGTATGGGAGAAGTCATCAAGAATGAGTTCTGCCATGATAAATATATTAAGTAAAAGAGTCAGTCAGGAAAGCCTGAAAATGAGAAGTAAATAAGTAAAATAAAAGGTGAAAAATAAAAGAAAATGTTAAGTATTTTCTTAAGACAAACCTTTCTGCCTACGCAAATAATCCCAATCAAACCAAATCATACCGAATTAAAAGATTCCCATTTTAATAGACTAAAATACTCCTGGGTGGCCCAGGGAAAACATGGAGAAGAAAGAGTGAGAAGAGAAAAACCTGGAGACCAAATGTTCATTCTCTGGGGGACAGTTTAAATAGCTGTGGGAGTGGTCTTGTCTTCCCAGAGGAGGGGTTACCATTTGGCAGGCTTTCTTGGAGGTGGAGTTTGGATTGAGGCAACTTCCAGGGGAGGGAGCTTATGCCAAGAGCTGGGGTAAAGCCCTCAGCCAATCAGAAAGGAGAAAGTGGAATAGCCAGGTATAAAATAAAGCGTAGTTGCATTCTAAAGAACACCTTTTCCCCTTGGGATGTTTTGTTTGCTTTTGCATTAGTTCCTGTAATGCTTTGTTAAAGGGCTTTGTGAATTTCTTAAGTTTGGTTCTAAAACATCTGCTCTTGGCCCTTAATAAAATGACACTAAATATCAAAATCCAAAAATGTGAACAAGAAAGTGCCTCAGAGGACAAGGAGGAAGTTTCTTTTCCTTCTTTCTTTTTTGATGACATACTTTTAAAAACAGCCTGAAATGGCTGACCTCTTTAGCTGGATCAAGTGCCCCTCTTCTTTCATCAGTTAGAGGATTATTAGATCCACCGTGAGAACCTTCCATCTTTATTTGTGGAATCCTGAGGCCCCATTTAAACATCTTGGTAAAGAAACCCTATCTGGTTTTATGAATGTCCCTACACTAGAGCAGGGCATTTGACAACATAGGAAGAGGAGTTCAGTGGAAATGTAGCTTAGAATCTCTGGTTCATGCAGCAAGGGAGCTGTGCTGATTCTGTGTTCAGCTAAGGCAAGCCTCTGCTTGCAGCCTCTGCAAGAGATGTGCAGAAGAGAAACAGATTGTCTCAGGCCAGGATAGTGGGTCAATGGTGTCTGTGGGGCTGAGTGTGGGGTGGGTAGGGAGGTGACAGGCAGGTCTAAAGTCAGACAGACAGCTTCATAGACAAAAGATTTGAAGTGTTTTCTACCTTCAAGTCTTTTATATTCACTTCCTTAACTCCATTTCTACACATTAGCTTTTACCAGTTGACGTTTGGATG